AAATGAGAGACTTAATTTCTTGGAACTCTATGATTTCTGGATATGTAGATAATTTCATGTTCGAAAAGGCTTTGAGAACGTTTGCAGATTTAATAACGACGGGTGGGATTGAACCTGATTCATTTACTCTAGGTAGCGCACTTGGCGCTTGTGCGAACTTGGTTTCTCTAAGATTGGGGAAAGGGTTGCATTCATATTGTATTGTGAAGGGTTTGCAATCAAATCTTTTCGTAGGTGGAGGATTGGTGGAAATGTACTGTAGATGCCAGGACCCAGAAACCGCTCACAAAGCCTTACAGGAGGTACCTGAAAGGGATATAGCAATTTGGAACTCTTTGATTTCTGGTTATGCTCGATGCAATCAAATTGAAGATATCCCATGTATCCTTCAGAAAATGGAAGATGATGGATTTAAACCAGATGTATATACATGGAATGGAATAATTGCGGGCCACGTAGAAAACGACCACCATGAGTCAGCTTTAGAATTGTTTTCACAGATGCAGGCTTCAAATTTGAGGCCTGATATTTACACAGTTGGAATAGTTCTACCAGCGTGCTCAAGGTTAGCTATTATTGAACGGGGTAAGCAAGTTCATGCATATGCAATCAGATGGGGATATGAATCAGATGCCTACATTGGAGCTGCTCTTATGGATATGTATGCAAAATGTGGAAGCATAAAGCATGCGAGTCTTGTTTATAATAGGATCAGAAATTATAATTTGGTTACCCAAAATGCAATGCTTACTGCGTACGCCATACATGGGCAGGGAGGCAATGGAATTTCTTTCTTCCATGAAATGCTGGTTGATGGTTTTACACCAGACAACGTGACATTCCTAGCTGTTCTTTCTTCGTGTGCCCATGCAGGATCAGTTAAAACTGGACAAGAACTCTTCAATATGATGGAATCTTATGGTGTGAAACCTACCTTAAAACACTACACGTGCATGGTTGATCTTCTAAGTCGTTCAGGCCAGATGAATGAAGCATACAAGATGATTGAGAAAATGCCTGATGATCCCGATTCAGTAATTTGGGGTGCCTTGCTTGGTGGCTGCGTTGTCCACGGGGATGTGAATTTAGGAGAAATTGCAGCACATGAGCTCATAAAATTGGAACCAGATAACTCTGGGAACTATGTGATGCTGGCCAACTTATATGCATATACAGGTAGATGGCATGATCTTGCAAAACTAAGACGTCAAATGAAGGACATGCAACTATATAAAAATCCAGGTTGCAGTTGGATTGAAGATAAAGATGAAATTCACATCTTTATGGCATGTGACAGATCTCACAAGAGAGAGAAACAGATATATGAGGTTTTGGATAATTTAACAATACAAATGAGATTGGAACAAAATGAACATGAAATTCAATTCTCTGTATAAGTTGTGTACAAAATAACATATTCATGATTTCACTACAAGTTCATGTTTCACAAGAAATTGCTTACAAGAATTGTGGCAGTACTAGGAGCACCAATGTCACATTTGTATTCAGTAATGATCGACTGACTCAAGAACCCTGCGGGCTTGAATGTGCAGAGCTGTCAATCTTTGCTCTGGATCCAGAGTGGATCCAAACTGACTTGCTGCCCATATCAAGGATGCAGATTTTTCTCCCAAGAATTGCCTTAGATCCTTGTGTATTGTTGCCATGGGAGGTGTTTCCCTTCCATTTAAATGACCAATGAGAAGCAATAAAAACTCGCCACATTTCAACCTGATAAGATGACAATACAACCAGCCAGTTGGCAAATATTGAAAATATGTGTGTGTGTGGAACAACAAACTTGTTGGGATATAAATTTTAGAAGCAAACCAGAGTCCGGATGGGATAATAAATAATTGTGAGGATAAGAACAAGGAGAGAGCTTCAAGTGAACTAAATAATAGGAGCTACAAATAAAAGATACCTGAGACTTTCTTCTGCTTGTTTATCTCTTATAAGAACAGCTACTTCTTCGATGCCATTGCATGCCTCAAAATCCTGGCACATAATTAGCCAACAAACATCAATAATCAAGTAAATCTAAAGGATAGCTTCATTACATCGGTTCAGACAGTATGGAGGAAATCAGCATAGGAACCAGAAATATTGTTCAGTGTGGGCGAAATTTGGTCAAGGTCGGACTTTGAGTTTTCGGGGCTTGAAACAAACTTTGAATTTAGCCCTTAAATTATAGTATGCAAAATGCATTAAAAATTTTAACAAGTAAAGTTCAATTGTGAACACTAATGACATAGTTTATAATTTAATAGATTTTTATGAAAAAAAATTGTGAAATCTATAAAATGTGGAATAAAAATTAATTATTAAAAAAATAAATTTCAAAAATGAAGCCATGGGATAAATACCACATTAGGCTACAACTAGCAAAAGGCATTCTCTTCATCCTCCTTTTAACCTCCATGTTCTGATTCCAAAATCCCTAAACCATGTGTCCTCACATTTCCCTCTCTCAAAATCTCACTGTAAACAATCCATACTCAGAAAACCCCAATCCACCTCTTGGAGAAAATGAGAAGACCACTAAATCTAAGAAATTTAAGATCCAGCAACAATATTCCAAGCTTCAAGAAATTGAGCTCCAAGAAACGCCGGAGTTGAAAAATTCAGCCATTTACCATTGTCCAAGATAACTAAAGATGGGTTCATCAAATTAAAGTACTCAAGCAAAAATGAGTTTGGAAAGACCCTATCTTTTATTATTCCGGCGTTTTCCTGGTCTGGAATTATGGAAATAATCTGATCGTGTACAGTGAAATTTTTTAACTTATGCGCTCTTTTTGCTTGTTTCTGTTTCTCAGACATGGGTTCATTTCCATCCATTGTGAAGGCTGGGTCTAAAGTTTGGTGCATGCATCTGCTTGCACTGCACTTAAGGTGGGTCCGCCCCTGAAGGAAATAGATGGCTCACGCAATTCATGTTCTCACGTTTTTGCAAACTCTCATTTTCTATAATTAGCAGAGCCTAGATACAAGAAACAATCAATGCTAACATTTTTCACACCATAACCAGAGAATTTAGGCTGAAAGAGTATGATTAGAAACTTAGATATTTGTCAATCTAGGAAGGAAACAGGACCAATCATTCATAAATTAATTCCATCAGCAGAGGCAACATTGGCATCACATTCCATTAAAAAATGAAATATGGAAGCCAAACAAAGCAGTTCTGAGGATGGACTTGTCAAACCATTGCTGACCATAGAACAATGCATACCATTTGATTGGCAGATGAATCCAGCATAATTGAGATTAAAGCATCTAGGCATGCACCTTGCTCAAGTACTCCGCGAGTTGACAAGATATTCATCAAGACCTGTTTAACATCAAACTAATGAGCAGCTAGAATGTTTGAGTTTCAGCATCAAAATCAAAAGAATCAAGAAACTTGTGAAGAATACTTTTACAATAAAATTTATGAAGAATAAGGCATTTTCATTCTAGTAAATAACAAAATAGTATAATATACTTTTTGAAAGGCAGAAGCACCAGCTGCAAAAAATTTCCCAGAAAGATCTTTGGATTTGCACTTCAAATTATTTTCCAGAGTTGTAAAACTATATGAACAAAAGTGATTCAAGATAGCCAAGAGAAATGAAGGTTTCTATCAACTTACTGGAATTGCCTTGTGTTGATGAGCCAAGACCGTGCTCTCTCGATGAAGAAGACAACATCCTTCCAGAACTCTTAGTGCAATAGCCACTTCAGCATCCGTTGAAGGACTAGTTATTTTCATAGGTTCAACGGTAAATATGTGGTTCAGACTGGTTACTATCTGGTCCTCTATTTCTTTTAGAGAATGTTCAAACAGCACTGGAACCACTGTTACATGTAAAGAAACTCATCACCAACCACATTCAAAATTAATACACGAGAGTTATTGATACTTGTAATTCTTCCATCTTATTACCATTGTTTTATGGACAACATAACAACTCCACAACTAAAACACGAATAAATTTGAAATTAAAAAAAAAAAAAAATTCACTCTACAGAAATCCAAGAATATACATAAAAAACTTAAAAAGCATTGTCGGAAATATTAACAATAATTTAACCTCATTTTCTTATTTATATCGACAAGGCTTGTCCTTTATTGTCAAATATGTACTTGAGGTTTTTGGATTCAAGAAAGAAAATTGTTCTTTTTGATGAAATAACTTGTTTAACAAACAAACCAATTAAATATTTATTTTACTTCATTTTCTTCTCTTTGCTAAGTGATCAATCAAAATCCACTTTTACGGTAAAATGATCCATCAACAACAAATTTTAGCTCAGCCATAAACATCAAATTTCGCTCAACTAACATTAGAACAAAATAAATAAAGTTTCACTGGGCAACATTGTACTATGGCCACGGGGTCAAATTTTACGGAAGAAGGATAAAATTCAAGTAAAACACTTGTTCAAATTTCTAGGCCCAATTACTCATCACGGCATTATTAAAGAGCGAACCTTGCAGCTCAGGGATGGATTGGGAGTGGCAGAAGAGAGTGATGGTGGAATCGGATTCAGCGACGGACTGTAGGAATTTGAGAATGCTGCGGAGGCCACGCACTCGGAGGAATGAGAACTCGGCGCGTGCATCTCCCAGTCCGGTACGGAGTGCGAGTGTCACCTCCCTGTACAGCCTTTGCTTGTCTAACGATTTCACCAGCTCCTTCACCGGCGATTGAGACTCGTCATCCGATTCCGACGAGTTCAAGCCGTCGCTCCAGAACGGCTTCTTCAGGTACATCTCTATTAAAGAGGCGAGCTTTTGTTTTCTCTTTTATTTTTTTTTTCTTTAAATGGAAAGGTGCAAGCGAAGGGTGTAGAAATAAAAAAATAGAACAAATATTTTAAATTTTTCAAAATTAGATTGTCCAAAATTAGGGTAAATTCCACAAGGTCCCTAACTTTTGCAAGTTTGACACCCATATCCTTAAATTGTTAAAGCATACGTTTAACAAATGTTTATATATAAACATATCAAAATATTTGCGAATAAATAGATAGTATTTGTAAATATCACAAAATGTGTGAAGGAAACATTTATTTGAAAGATTGACCTATCAAAAAAATGAATCGAAATCAAGCTCTGGATGCAAAGAGGTCAATCTTAGCCTCGAGCACCAGCCTATTCCTTTTTTTTTCCCCGTATAATTTATTTGTCACGAGGTTGATTCTTTGTACTTGATGATTTGTTGTTAACTCATAAAGTGAATAAAAAATTAAATAAATAGTTTAAATTATTCATCGTTTGATAAATCAAGATAAATTACACACGAGCCCTAACTTTTGCAGAATATTCGTAACTTTTAAATGTATATTATAAATAGATAGAAATGATTGATGGACAAATGTGTAGTAATTGTGGATCTAACAAAATACGTGAAGAAAAATATTTATTTGAAAGATTGACATGTTAAAAAATGAGAGAATTGATACCAACCCCTAGATGCAAAGGGGTGCACCCATTCATTCTTTTTGTGTTTGAGAATGCATTTAAGAAGTTCAAAAGCACATTTTGGAAGGTAAAAGTACTTTTAATTACAATGTTTGGTTAAAGTCAATGAGTTCTTTTTTAAAAATAAAAAAAGTGAACATTATTATTCTGTTCATTAAGCAGTGAGATCACTATCACATTGTCTAGAGTAAAATAAAAGCATCTCCAATGCATTCTATAAATTGTAATGTAGTTGCATCTAAATATAAAACTTTCAACTTAAATGGCATTAATGTCTAATAAATAGATGACTTAATTCAAATTTCATCTCTAATAAAGCTATACGATTTGATCTCATCAAGAGTTAAGATCTTTATAAAAATTTTATGATTGTAAGTTGTTTATTTTAGAAAAATCTTATCGAAAAATATTTTATTGCTATACGTAACACAATTTTATGTTAGGTTAATATTCAATATAATATTTCTTGCTCTCTAGTGGCACAATTTTACAATATCAATTATTTTATAATAATATTATGTAATTGCTTCTAAAGAGCAAATGTTATATGGTTAATAATAACTTGTTGATGTTTCCAAAGAAGCATAAATTAAACAACCCAATATTGGGTTGCAATTTTTTAATAAATAACAACATTCATGAAGAATATTAATTATTACTCCTAAAGGGCATAACATTCTGTGTTTTAATATTCTCGAAGTATATTAAATTATTGCTCTCAAAGTAAAAATCTTGAAATATAAATAAAATTTAAGATGAATTATCGAGATATTTGCTTAGCAAATAGTACAACTACGCGCACAAATCTCCAAGTACTTTTTAAAATTAACAAAAATAGAAAATAATGTTAACACAATATTAGGTACATTAAATATGGTTAAATGCTTTGAAAGAGTCAGTATTATTTTATCAAATAATACAAGATTATATAGTTATGACGTATTTAATATTTTATTCCAATAAACTCAAAAGGAATTTTCTTAATTTTAAAGATAATTGTTCGAATTAATATTATATTTGAGATGATACAAGAAAATAAAATTGAATATATTTACGTAACTTTTTTTGTATCTAATCAAAAATAGATAAAAGGAAAACTTCTGGCACTCTTCTGGAATGTACTACATATTCATAAAATTAATTGAATAAAAAACTATCACAAATTCAAAATTCATTGACCCACAAAATTTTATAATTCGACATGATCGACTTAAAAGGGGGAAATACATAGAAATGACCCAAACAAATAAGCCATTTTCCAAAATAACCTTTGGCTAATTTTGATACCCAAAATACCCCCCTTTTATAATATTACATAATAAGTTAATGAAAAACAGAAATCTTTCATTTTAGTCCTTGAAAAATTAAACACTGCTTAAATTTTAATAGATTACCGATTTATTAGATTTATTTGATTTTTGTTCGCTCTAAGTAGCACCCTCCCCCCTTTATTGGTATCAGAGTCATAGAGATCATGGAAATAAAAATAAGAAAAATAAATAATTATTAGTGTTTAAAAGAAGAAAAAGGTAGTTATATATTTTTAAAACATATTCTAATAGATTAAAAATGATGACTTTAACAATAATTAAAGAACTTCCTAGAGAAATAAAGGAACAAATATCAGAAAAATTAATAATAGAAAAAATAAAAGATATATATACATATGAAAAAATTATTAATATATATGAAAATGAAGAAAATAATTTATATTATAAGGAAAAGTATGAGTACAAGTAATAATACACATTTAAAATTAAATAAATTACTTATAAAAATGAAAAAAATACTAGAGGAAATACGAAATATAATGTTAATACCAGAAGGAATGAGAATATCAAATAATAATTATTAAAATTAAAATGCGAAAGATTAAGACTTGAGAGCAAATACTTTACTATAGTAAAAGAATAATTAGTAGATCGAGAAATAGCTGAGAGAATATTCAGAAAAATAATAGATAAAAAAGAAGATAAAAGATGCAAATTAACTTACGAGTTAGAAATAAGAAAAAATTAAGATGTCAATAAGTGAATATATGGAAGAATTAAAATCATTAATAAAAATGTTAATAAATGATATACAAGATTTGAGAAATGAAGTAAAAGAAACAAGAAATGATATAAATATATTAAAAATTGAAATTAGAGAATTAAAAGAAAATAATAAGAATAAAGATAAGAAAATAGATAAAAAAAACTTATAAAAAAAGAGATGACTCGAATAGGAAAGAAACATATAGAAAAAAGAAAATATAGTAATATAAACAGGAAGTATGGATGATGAATTTAGAAAGAATATATTACTAAAGATATTAGAAGAGGAAGAAAAATTTAGAGAAAAATCATTAAGTAAATTAAAGTAGAAGAAAAAGAAAATGAGTGAAGAATTAGATTTGCTAATAGAAAATTTTGATCAATTAAGCCTAACTGATATAAGTGAATATCAAGTTTTAATGAATACTGGAGGAGGACCTAATCTAATAGAAACCTCTAAACAAGAATTACATGATACAGATGAAAGCTATGCACTTATATAAAATAAACCATATAGATAATTCTATGATAAAGTAAGCGATAGACAACCACCTAAAAGAAATAAATATAAAGATATGTTTGAATTAAATGATAATTATGATAAACCAATTAATCATGGAGGAATAAAACTAGATTTAAATTGTAAAATGGATACTAAAAAACTCTTATTAACCTGGACAGATTCAATGATATTATTCTTTTTATATAACAAAGATGATACATGGGAAAATATTGAAAGAAGAATATATTTTTTAATAGCATCCTTTAAAGGAGATGCTAGGAATTGGTAGGAAGGAATAAGTAATGATACAAAAATATTAATAAAAAGAAATGTACAAACAGAAATAATCAAATCAGATAGACAATGTATAGAAAAATTAGTAGAACATATTTCATATAAATTTTTAGGAGAAAATTGGATAAGAAATGTTGAAAAAGAATCAATAAGAGAAGAAGATAATGTTAGAATAAAATTAATAAATTTAACAATATGTGATATGTGTAAAATTAAAGAATATACTTGTGAATTTAAAAATTACTATTATATTCAATTTTATAGTAATGAAAATTAAGAAGTATACCAAAACATGTATTATAATAAATTACCGGGTTCATGGGGAATATATTTTAAAATAAAATTTGAAAAATATGTTAGAAATAATACTGGAATACCTAGAACTTTAGGTTCAAAAATAAAAATTTTATTTGAAAGACTTGCATATATATGTCAACAAAGACAATTAATGAAAAAATCAGGAAAATTAACTAAAATATGTTGTGAAAATATGGAAACTCCTGTGCAATGGAGATGTAATCTTGAAAGAAGAAAGTATCAAAATAAAAAGTTTAAAAAATTTAGAAATTTTAATAAAAAATATATAAAACCTAGGAGAATGTATTACAAAAGAAAAAATAACTCATATAATCAATAGAATAATAAAAAGAAAAATAAAAGTCAATGTAAATGTTGAAATTGTGGAGAAATAGGTCATATAAGCCCTGATTGTGATAAAAAAAAGTTAGAATATTACAAAAAGAATACTTAAAGATAAAAGATGAATTAAGTAAAATATTAGATATTAAAGAATATTATAATTAATAAGTATATATAAATGAAATAGATGATGAATCAGGATCTGAATAAAGAAATTGAAGAAATAGAAAGTAATAACATAAATATATAAGAATATGAAGGAATACAAATAGAAAGTATTAACAAAGATTAGCAAAAAATAAAATGAAAAAATTCAATATGTTTATTTAGAAGGAATACAAATAATATTTAAATCACTATTTAAAGAAGTGATAGATTCACCCTTAACTATAACTTTACATGATGGAAGAATAATGAACTTAAAAAATAGTCATTTAGGAACAATAGAAAGAAATTTAGCATATTAAAAAATTATGTTTACATGTTATCCAAAATATTGTGTATCGCTAAAAGATAGAAATTTTAATGAAGTTTTAGGACTACATTTTAAATTTCATAGGGATGTTATCATGCAACCAAGTGATCAAATTATGACTATAAAATATAGAGCCTTATATACATTTACTAATTCTAATTATGGAAATATTTATTCCAATAAACCATATATTGAAATTCATAAAGAATATATAGATATTAGTAAAATAATAGAACCAAATAAACAAATAAGTTTAATTTCAAAGGAATATGAATTTAATATAACAAAAAATAAATTTGAAATAACAGAATTAAATGAATGAGAATGTTCTAATAATATTATATTTAAGGATGAAAAATTAATTAAAAGATCAAAAAGTTTTAAAATACCTAATAAAAACCAGTTAGAAGAAATCA